GGAAAGGAAGAGAGAAAACCATGCCTGTCTGCAGATGACATGATCTTATATATCAAAAACTCTATAAAGATTCCCCCCCAAACAAACCAAAATAAATAAATACACTGTTAAAACTAATGAATGTAATAATAAAAGTTGCAGGATATAAAATCAACATACAAAAGTCAGTCATGTGTCTGTACACTAACGACAAACTACCTCAAAATGAAATTAGGCAAACGATCCCATTTACTTCAAAAAGATAAAATACTTAGGAATAAACAAAGGGAGTGGAAAACTTGTATAAACTCCAACAACACTGGTAAAAGAAATCAAAGACACAAATGGAAAGGCATCCCATGTTCATGGATCGGAAGAAGTATTACTAATATGCCCACACCACCCAAAACCATCTATAGAGCCAATGTGACCCTCATCAGAGTCCCAGTGCCATTCTTTGCAGAACCAGAAAAACAATTCTAAAACTCACAGAGAACCACACACGACTAAAACTAGCCCACCAATCATGAAAGCAAAGAATAAAGCTGAAGATCACACTTCCTGATTTAAAAATAGATTTTGAAGCCACAGGAACCCAAAAAGTACGGTACCAGCATAGAGACAGAGACCAATAGAACAGAACAGAGAGCCCAGAAATAAGCCCGGGTATCTGTGGCCAACTGAGCTTCGATAGAGGGTACCAGAAACACGAAGGGGAGAGGACAGTCTCTTCAACAAATGGTGGAGTTGGGAAAATGGGAGATCTTCATGCAGGAGAATGAAAATGGACCCCTGACCTTCCCTCATACACAAATGTCAACTCAAACAGGAGACCTGAAACTGTAAAACTCCCCCCAGAACACACAGGGCTTGAAGACTTTGGTCCACGTAGGTCCATACAGACACCTGCACGTGGATGTTTCTAGCAGCTCCGCTCACAGCCGCCAGCGCTGGGCGGCCAGCGAGATGCTCTTGAGCAGCCGCATCACCCGCACCTGCAGTCAGATATTAGCGCTAAAGAGGAAGCCATCAAGCCAGGGAGAGACAGGACACTCACATACTTGTCCCTGAGCGACCAAAGCCCACGTGAGAAGTCCACGTACAGTGAGATTCCGACCAGATGACCTCCTTTCTGAGGGACGAAACTACGAAGACTGAAAAGACGAGCGGATGCCAGGCAGGGTGGAGGGGAAGGAGGGACGAGGTGGAGCCGCGGCTTTTTCCGGGTAGTGGAGATACCGTGTACGTGGACACCCGTCACTATACATTGTTCCAAACCCACTGAAGTAACCAAGAGCGAACCCTAATGTAAACTGGCCTTGGGTCATGTGTCACTGTGGGCTCATCAGCTGGGGTGGCGGTACCCTCGGGGGGGATGCTGATGGGGGGAATATGGGGCATACGGAAGCCCACTGAACCATCCCCTCAGTTTTGCTGGGAATCTGAAACCCCTTTTTAAAAAACGCTGTGTGTGCATTTCTTTAAGAAAGAAAATAAGGACAAAGGAACTATAAAAAGCCCTTGGACACTATCATAACCTAAATAAAATAATTCTGCTAGAAGACAAAATTAAGAGTATTTTTCAGAAACAAAGCAGAGACAGTAAGAAAATCCGAGGACTGGTCTAGGCAGGGCAACATTCAATTTGTAAGAGTTAGAAGAAACAAAATGGAGAGGATGGGTTCCTGAAGGTGGGAGACAGGTCATCTGCCAGGACCAAGAGGACATGTCTGGGACGGGCAGGTGCACGTGCACAAGGCCAACCGCGGAGTACGTCCAAGGACCATACAGGCTTCCTGTGGTCGGAAACACACGCACAGACTCGTGAGGACACATGGGAACCAGGGGGCACACACCCTCTCAGCGGCTGTGCTGGGGGAAATGACGATATGGCGTTTCCAGCAGGAGGACTGAAGAGACCACAATTAAAACCCATGATCTGGTCATACTGTCCATCAGCCAAGGTGAAGGTAGAATATAAGTGTTTTCCAACCGGCTACCCTGTTGGAAACCTTGACCGACAACACCCCTTCTTGAGGAAGCAGAGAACGTTCTGCAGCAGCTGCAGGACCCAGATGTGGAACCCAGGAAAGGGGAGGCTCGAACACACGTGCTTCAGGACGACAGCTATGTGACACAGCTGGAGAAGCTGGGCTCTGGGAGCAGGAATGGGTCGGGGAGGCCTGGCAGAACCTGCGCGAGACCAGAGAGGCTTGCGGGGTGGGAGAGGAAGGCCTAGTGATGGGGACCAGGGCATGCACTGCACTTCTCTCTCTAAGGAAAGCAAAGACCCTACTTGGCTGAGCAGTTTTTCATGCAGCCAACATGAACTATACAAGCAAGATGTGGGGCTGCGAATACGCTGGGCGAGTGGGCAGGGGGAGGGGGGCGGGCGGGAATCCCAGGAAACCACGTGTTCCTGGGCCTGCAGATTTCCCGGTCTTTCCCAACAGGCCTGGCAGCCGAGCTGTGCTTCCCTTGGATCAAAAGCAAAACCAGCCACAAACGGACATCAGCTTATCGTCCCTTCATGTCTTCAGGCTGTCTTTGCTTCCATTATCAGCTGATAAGAAGCCCTGTGGTTTTAAATCTGGTGCCCAGTCAGGGCTGTAGGGAGCTCACCCTTTCCCCAAGAGCAGCAGAATGCCACTCGGAACCGCCGTGGGTGTGGCGGGCACGCCGCTCTTCATGGGCTTTTTCCGGGCCACCTTATAGGATGTTTTCTCTGCTTCAGCAGTCAACCAAGTTCACATACATGCAGACCGAAGTCGGCCACCTTCATATGTGGGTACCACTTCCGTTATCCATCTTAACGCCAACGTCCTACTTCTTATGCGCAGTCTACCCGCACACCCCAGTGGGAAATACAGGGGATCTGGCAGCAAAACTCTGCACCGAGAGCCGCCGCTGGCCTGGCTGCCAGGCTCAGGGCTGTGTCTCCGTGCTCCGGTGTATCCAGAACGCCAGCAGGGGCCTCGTGGAACAGCGTGCGGGCGGCATCCCTGCCGGTGGGCACCGCGGTCACAAACGTAGCTGCCCATCCTCCCGCCGTGGCGGTTGGAGCACCGGTAGGCTCGCCCTCCTCACGGCCCTTGGGCTCCCTCGGGCACAAACAGATGTGTTGAATGAAGTTGTAGGTGCCCGAGATTCTGGATCCAAGAAAGAGATTTTTTTTTTTAAATTGGTTTTATTTCAAAGTGCACTAGAGAAATGACAGGAATGCTTCGAACCAAGTCAGGTCGGATGACACGCACCAACTTGGAGCAGACAGTAAATGTGGGCCGGGCACAGTCTGGGGGGGCAGTGCCCGCCGGCCACGCCACTCGTCACAGCACAGGGGCATTTGGGGCTCTGGGACAGTGACAGTGGCAGCCAGGCTGCTGGCGCTGCTGGTCGGTGGACTCGCGCCACTTGCCCAGCTGTGTGGGGCCGTCACCAGCGACTCTGTTTCATAGAAAAGCGACGCTGAAGAGCTGGAAGTCGACACTGGATTTGCACACCTGCAAGCCTCACGGTTCAACCGCTTCGACTGTGTTTTTATTGATAAACAGGTGTACATGTTAAAAGCCTCACACTGAAGCCGGACACACACGTCCACCCCAGACAACAGATGTGCAAATGAACACGCAGCACGACCTCTGGACGCGTGTCGTGTCTGGCCCCCTCGGGCCCGTCCCTCTGGCGGGGACACGGCCCCTCCCCCATGGCTCACATGTGTGTGCAGACTCGGTCCATTGCCGAGACGTCCCCCCGCTTTGCTCGCCTGGCGACAGCTGTGTCTCAGGTAGGTCCCCTGTGGATCTGCGTCAGCAGCGGCAGAAGCCCTGATTAGGACAGGATACGGGTTAATTCCAAACAGAAACGGAACAGTTCACAGATGAACGGAAAGGCGTCCGAGCCGGGAACGAAACACCAACTCTTCTCGGCCTGAAGGCAGGGCTGTAGGAGCGCCCTGGACCGCGTCCCGGCTCGCGTCCTCGCAGGTCCCGCAGAACAGCCGCAGACCAGGCAAGTTTAAGGCGAGTCCCCAAGGAGGGGAGCTGTTTGCTTTCTGACAGCATTTTCAGCTCTGCACTGAAGGGCCTGTTTTATCGCTCGTGACTTGGGGAGAGAAACAAACATAAATGATACAAAAAATAAAGCTGTTGCCATCCGGAATACTCTGGGTCAGTGAGTGAGGCTCAGAGTCTGGGGCTCTGCCTTGGGGTCCCCTCACGTGCTCAGGGAGGCCCAGAGGCCCCCCGCTCGCTCTCTGTGTGAGTCCCCGTGGCCGGGCCCGCCCTCCTCCGCACCCAGACCGACATCCGGCGGCACAAAGGGTGAGGCCGGCACGAGCCTTCACTGTTCCCTTAACTGAGGTGCCGTCCGTACTCTGCTGACGTGGCTGGGACAAAACCACGGCAGCTCCAAGGCCCTCACGCACCCAAGATCTTCAAAATAAAGGTAAAGCAGGCGGGCAACGAAGGACCACACACGAGCGACTGTTCTTTGGATCAAGATATTCTCCAAAATGCAATACATTCATAGTAACGCCCGCGGGACACGGGTCCCGTGGCAGCTCTCTCCCCTTCCCTGAAACGTCGGCTTCTAAAAAACAGCTTGTTGGTTGCACGCGGCTATTACCGGTCACGTCCCCTAGACAACACTGCCAATGCTGAAGCACACAGACACACGCGCGCACGTGCGCACACGCACAGACACACGCACACGCACAGACACACGCGCACGCACAGACACACGCGCACAGACTTGCCGAAAGGGTCCAAGCACGCGCTTCCAGGGCAGTGCGAGCAAACCTGAAGCCACTGCCGCGGTTCGGTGCCCAGATCTTCTGCGTGTTCAGTGCAAAGTGTCGGAGCTCACTGAGATCACAATGCGTCTCCGTGCAAGCGCCCCTCCTTGCTCGAGCGAGGGCACTGATGAAGCCCTGGGTCGACAGGAACGCCCTGAAACCGTTAGCTGGAGAAATCTCACTCACTGGATTGACTTGTTTTTTCTTCATGATTGAAAAAAGCAGCTTGGTACACAGGACTTTAATCACCATGGAAGAGCCCATGCGACTTCTCAGAAAATGCCAAGTGTTCTTAACAAAAACCCTAACCGTGAGGAAGATAATGACATTTGGCTTCTTCACGTGGCCACGTACCTCTCGTTAGTCGTACAGGCAAAAACTGGCCAGAGCGTCACCCCGTCACTGGTCTGGAAAAATCTGGTCTGTGACTATAAAGCTAGAAAACCCTGCTGCAAGCAGCCGGTCTGTGTAGGTTCCGTCTGCCCTAATGGTCACAGGTGAGCTGCTCATACCCTTTCAGACCCCAAATAAATAACTTAAGTCTGGTGACAAGTCCTGGCACGATGAGGCCTCAGACCGAGAACTCTGGGCCCCCTTTCCTGGGTCTGGTCTGCAGCTGCCCAAACTGGAAGCCAACAAAGGGGTTCATCCAGAGGAGTGAGGGGGGCCCCCCGAAGACAGACCGCATCCCCTCCCATCGCAGCCTTCGCTCCCACGTCGGCTTCTCGCTCTTCAGCCTCTCGATCTCCTGGAAGCAGAGAGGATCGCAGGTGGGCGGCAGGCCCCCCAGAATGCCCACCACGCGCAGGCCAGGCCCCGTGCTCTCCGCAGAGGAGCCAGACCCAGAGTCTGAAATCCGGTTCCACGTGACAGCTCTGGCGACGTGTGGGCCCCAGTGGTCAGCAGATCAGACCCTCCTTGCTGTGCCAGCGCCATGGCCGGCCAGTGCCCCCCACCAAGCCCTGCCCCACACACAGCCCGGCAGCTACGGTGGTGGCAGGAAGGAGCCAGTCCTTGGGGTCAGGCCACTGGCCTTTTTTCATTTGTTACAGGTATTTATCAAGTGCCTGCTCTAGATATACGGTTCAAAGGCATGAAGGCAATTTGTTGACGCACCTCACGGAGTTGCTCCGGGGGGCTGGGTCTCCTAGAACCCGGGAATCGGCCTGGCTCTACCTCCCGTGTCCGCTGACTCTCTAACCAAACGGATCCTTGCGTTTGCGCCACGCATAAAGGCAGGAAGGACAGACACAGAGGAGCGGTCCCAGCAATCTCCCGAGTTAGCATGCCCACACCTGCCGGTGACCCTGACCCTGGGACTGCCCACGTACGCAAGCCAAGTAACGTGCAGCAGGCGTGGCGGCGAAGGAAGCATACCGTTTCGTCGTTGCATATGGAGTGGATCTGGGTGCCGAACATGACTGCAGTGAAAGTGAAAAACAGAAGACTCTCAAGGCACAGGAAGACCAACAGGATTACAGTCACGGGGGGTGAGAAGTCACTGCACTCTGCGGACAGAGAGGGCGGGCTGTGAGTGTGCCCCGGCGCATCACCAACACCCAGAGCGCAGGCGAGCGTGGCACTCGGCTCACAGAAGGATCCTCGTGCAGCCAGCCCCGGAGCCGGCCCCAGCAACCGCCGTGCTCGCCTGTCGACGGGCACCTTTGCTGCGCACCACAGGGCGGAGGTGGTCAGCTCTTCCGGGCCCAAACCCACCCCACCAGCTGTGGGGCAGCGCTTCCATCGCACCCGAGGCTTCTGTGAGAGCTGAACCTGGGCGCGGACCTTCAGGGGAAGCGAGGAGAGAGGACAGCCCTGCGTCCCCGCCCTGCGTGGCCACTCGCACGGGCCCCCAGGGGGTGCGTCTGGCCGACCCACCGTCCCCTCCAGGGAGGCGTGATCACTGCCGGCTTTAGCGCACCTGCCGCAGCTCGCTCAGGCCAGGAAGGCAAGGACCACACTGAGTTCCCAGCTAGCCGGCCGGAAAGAAACACGAGCTCTGGAAGAACGACACTCATTTCCAGGTCATCTCAGACTCGGCACGACTACCTCGCAGGAACTAGGACATGGCTAAGGAAGGACTGTGTGTCTGTGGCTTCGATACACGAGGGAAACAGACTTGAAACCCATATTCGTCACTAAAAGGATTTAGGAACGGAATGGCACATTGGTTCTCTTGGCTCTTCCCATTTTGCCCAACGGCACGCGCTTGCGGGAAGGGGACACAGGGCGTGACTCACCAGTCCACTGCCCTCGGACACAGGAGACGAACTGGAGTCCACAGAGGATGAGAGCGTGGACGGAGGACAGAGCTATGTACATCTGGAACAAGAGAAGCCCATCAGCAACCGGGGAGCAGCCACAGGTTTCTAGGAGCAAAGGCCACATTGACTGTCCACCGTCCTGCTTCGTTCCTCAGGAAATGAACGAGGGGGGGACCCCATCACGGCAGCAGGCAGCTGCCGCCCAAGGTCACTCTACACCAAGGTGCCACCTCCCCGAACCCGCAGCAGGGAAGGGAATCCCAGCGCGTCTCGGCAAACCCTGTGAGCAACTGGGACTGACGGTGCTGGAGAGACGGAAACCACATCTCTGACCTAAATCCCCTACGAGTCACACAGGCGGCAGGCGCCTGCGGCCAAGGACAGCGCGGCATCGCGGTCTCGTCCCGGAGAGGAGCTTAGAGAAGCTGGTCTGCCGTGAGAACAGATTCCCCTGCTGCGGGCCAGGTTCCGATTAAAGAAGGGAGCGCTCCGTGAGTCCCCGCGTGACTGCGCTTTACTCACCGTGAAGAGCACAAAAAACCTCTGATTCTTTTCTCCTACACAGTTGTTCACCCACGGGCAGTGATGGTCCATCTTCCGAATACATCTTTTGCAAATACTGAAAAGGAGAAATCGGTTTTCAGTATGCCACAATGAGAACACACAGCCCCGGTCCCACATGCGATACACACCATCCGGCGCTGGCGAGAGGCCGAGGGCCTCCTGCTCTGGGGCGGGGCTGCGGTCCCCGCGGTGGTGGCGCCCGGGCTGCTCAGGGAGGGCCACGTACCTGCAGTGGTGGGCGCGCTCGGGCTTGATGCAGCAGCACTTGGGGCACTTGTAGATGACCTCCCCCGGCTTCAGCTGCAAGCTCTCCATGTACTCTTTCGTCGCGTTTCCTTTGGGTACTGCCCCCTGCAGTTTAGGGAGGATGTTTTGGTGGGAGAGAAGGAAAGATCAGCACTCACACGTGCAGCGGTTCGGATCTGACAGCTGCGCCGAAATCCGCAGCGCTGGGGCTGCCACTCCAGCTACGCTAGTGTGAAAACAAGGGGTGCTTGGGTGGCTCCACGGGTGAGGGGACGACTCCTGATCTCAGCTCAGGTCTTGATCACAGGGTCGTGAGTTCAAGCCCCACCACGGCTCCCACTGGGCGTGGAGCCTACTTAAAAACCAAAAGACAAAAATGAGAAGTGACTGTGTAACTCAGGCATGATCAGGAGTTTTACTTTCCAAGAAAAGTAGCACATGTGTTAAAACGAACTCAAAATGCTTTATCCTTCTTAAGCTGGTAAGTCACCTGAGTTCTTTCTCGCTTCACGCGGGACACACCAGAGGTGAGGTTTGTCGAGTCATTCCAGCTCAAGGGCAGCTCATCGTCCCCAAAGGGCGGAATGTTCTGTGGACACCACTCCCGAGTCACCCCATTCTCCGGGCGGGGCTTCATGATAAGAGTGCCCCACAGAGCTTTCCTATCAGCTGCGCAGGGCAGCGCTGAACAGAGCTGTGATAAGGAGAGGGACTTTATCTCGTGTTTGCAGAGTCGTGGGGTGCACCTGCACCGGAGGCCTCATCAGGAGGGCTCACACACACACCTGGGAAGTGTGGCCCTGAGCTCCTGACCCGACCCGCTGTGGGTGGGGAGGGCCCTGGGCGGGGCGGTGCCCAGGTGGCAGCGGTGCTTTTGCCAGTGTCCCACACGCTGGCCAAGGCAGTGCGCTGGCAGCCAGGAGCGGGCAGGGACGGCCTTGTTCTTTGGGCAGCGGAGATACTCAGTGAACAACACGTGTGGGACGAGACCCCAGGAGCCATGCGGGGTGCACTGAGGACGGGGACCCACGAGAGTACAGGAGGTTCTGCGCGCGCGGCAGACAGGAACAAGGTCTCATCTCCCATTGGTTAGTGCTGAGGAGCCTGCACTTGGAGCAGAAATGCGCTTCGGGAAGGGCAGGCCAGGGCTGTGATGGGAGCGTGAGCCAGGGGAGATGCAAGGCGGGTGTGAGCAGCAGTGGGGATGGCAAGGGACTTCTCCCAGCCTGGATGCCCAGGCGGGTGCTGGGCCCAAAGATCTGAACCCCGGTGGGATGGGGGCCAGCATCCATGCCTGACAAGGCACAGCAGTGATTGTGCTGGGCCAAGAGACTGAGGACTGCTGACTCCAGGCCCCCAGCAAGCCAGACCTAGAGCCCCTGAGCCAGTGAGAGAGGCAAGGCCTCCAGGAGGCGTCCCGCCAGCTGAGGACAGGAGGGGCGGCTTCCCGCCCACCTTCTACCACAGTGCGTTTCCCTCCGCGCAGCCGCTGGTCCCCTCACTGTCCTAACACGGCGAAGCTATTCTGGTCCTAGCGTTTCCTAACACTCTAATTGTCTTCTTAAACAAGATTAAAAATTGAAGGGTTTAAGATGTTTTGGCTCTGAAAACTTAAACCAGAACGTCAGGCACAATATCTTATGACGTAACCTACATACCACAATGTGGGGTCTTTCATCAAGTTTCCTCCACTGGTCCAGGAGTCTTAAAGATACAGTGATTCTGTAAATCCCGTGACATCGTGCACACTCCCGGTGACAGCTCAGTGCTCTATGTTTCCGTGACAGGAAACGCACCAGATTTTCAAACTCCGCACACCTTCATTTTCATGCCTTCTTCTGCAGTAAACGTGTGATCCGCTGCAACACGCCTGCGTAAAGCAGCACGGCCCCGTACGTGCCCGTCTTTCCAAGGACCGTCTCCTGAGGCGAGGGCAAGTGGCGCCGCTGCTGGGGGCGCCACGCGCTGCTTTGGGCATCTTCGGGAGCCTGCTGGAGAGCTTCTGGGCCGCTGCTCAGAACCTGGGCAGACGGCACAGCTGATCAGGGCTTCCGGGCCACCCAGCTGACGCCCAGCAGCTGGGGACCCACCCTCGGATTCTGGGTCTCTTGCTGTGCCTTCACAGAGCAGACGACAAGCTGAAGGCTGGAGACGCGGTCCTCAGTCTTGCGTTCCTACTTTGGCCATCACCCGTCAGGGGCGCTTCTTCTGAGACTCAAATGCGTGCTTCGCCTCGGCTCCCTGGGCCACAGCCATGCCTTCGGGCACCCCACGACCCCGAGCAGCTTTCAGCTCTACTGCCGCTCTCCCAGCGTCCAGTGCCTGCACCACCCACACACAGCTCTCTGCCACTCCGGCGGGGAGCCAGATGCCTGCCCTCGGGGACACGGCTTCCAGCCGCAGCCTGTGGCCAGGGAGGTGACGCTGTGCAATGTACTTCTTTTTCTTTTCCCTCGTATCTTTCCATCTTGTCTCCCCGACTCCCTGTCATGCATTCTGGATCCCCAGGACCTACACAAGGGCCAGCTGAGAATGGGGCTTCCCCGAGACCTACAGACGCATTTACGATTGCCCAGGGGACAGGCCACGTGTGGAAACGGGCATGGGGTGTGAGCTGCAAACTCCAGAGCGCGACAAAAGCCCTGGGACAGAAGGCCCGTGTTTCTTCTACTAAAAAATCCCAAGAGACACAGAGACTGAGAGGCGTAAGACACAGGTCACCCAGCATCTGAGTGCAGGCCTTACTGGAGGCCCACTCCTGCCGAGGACTGGGTGGACCGAGACCCCGAGGCCGCTGGCACACGGGCACACACACAGAGGGGTTGCCCCGCCATCCGTGGGAGCCGCCGCACAGTAGAAGAGCCCCTCCTCTCGCAACGTCCGTGCCGAGATTTACAAATCAAGCTTTACTGTGTCTGCGATTTACCTCCAGGTGCTCTGGGGAGGGGAAGAGAGGGAGCAGGGAGGGTATCGCTGACGCGAGACTGACCGGGACAGGCTGACAAGGCTCCCACTCCACTTCTGGGTGCTGCAAACGGTCTGCAGGAAGTGAACAGAAGACAGGGACTCTGGTGACAGGCAAAGCTTGTTCAAACCTTGCTTTGTTCCCTGTTCAGCTTAAGGGTCTTGTTTTCTGGTGTGGACTGACCACCACCTCTGCAAGCTGGTGGGCTGCCAGAGGGATGCCCTCCATCGGGTGCCTGGGACAGGACCGCAGGTGCCACAAGGGCTCGGTCACTGCCAGGTGCTAGGCCAACTCCTGCTGAGAAGGTGGACATTCGTGAACACAGAGCAGGGTCTGGGACAGTGGGCTCTGGGTCATGGGTGGTCTCTCTCAGTTTTCAGTCCTCCGCGTGTTCCTGAATGTTAAGATCGGTGACAGTCTCACCCTCTGATGGGAAGACTGTTCCCTCTCAAGGACGCCACTTCCTTCCTGTTCCTCTGGGCCAGTGCCTGTTCTCAGGAACGATGTGACCCGAAGCCAGTGCCGGCACAGGCTAACTGGTCCTGCTGCCTCGTAAACTGTGATGTCCCAGTGGGGTCTGTGCCCTGCCGTCCTGCGGCAGCTCGGTTCCAATGCAGCCGAGACTGGACCACGGTACGGTAAAGTTGTGACCCGCAAAGACAGCAGACTCCCCGTGCTGAGGGACAAAGGATGGATGAGTGACTCCGTGGGGCCATGCCCTCTCCCGTCAGCCATGGGGATTTGGCCCCTAAGGATTCCAACCCGCTCTGGTCTGCGGGGCTCCCCTTCCTCACCAGACAAGGAGAGACAGACACCCGAAGGACAGAGACGCGCGAGGAGCCTGTCCCGCTCTCCCGCTGGTCTGCACTGACAAGAGCCTCCACGACCCAGTTCCAAGGCCTGTCGGGAGCCAGGCGTGTCCTTGTCCTTGGGCTCCTCAGGCTGCCCTGGACGTCCCCGATTTGATGTACACTGACTCCAGCAGTGTCTGCAGCGTCCAGACATGAAACAGCGACTTCAAAGGGACAAAGGACTTGAAGGGACAGTTGTCCAAAAAAGACACACAAATGGCCAGTAAGCTCATGAACGACGCTCAGCATCCTCAGTCACTAGGGAGACGCAGATGGAAACCACAGCGCGACTCGGCTTCACGCCCAGCAGAGCTGCAGTCGTCCACAAGACGGACCAGGGCCGGAGGCTGTGGACGAGCCGCAGCCCTCACGCCGCTGCTGGGCACGTGCTCTCCAGTGTGGGGACAGTCCAGAAGTTCTCCCAGCGTTGAACGTAGAGTTCGCCTGGGATCCAGCAGTTCCACGGTGAGGCACCTCCCGGAGGGACACGAGGCGCACCTGCGGAACACCCGCGCGGGAGCGTGCACAGCAGCGTCCTCCGTAAGGCCGGACAGTGCAAGCGCCCCAGCGTCCCTCGGCGGATTACGCCAGGAAATGAAACGTGGCGTATCCAGACCATGGATGTCCTTCTGCCGTAAAAAGCAACACAGTTCTGACATGGCTACGAGGCGGTCGGTCCAGGCAGGCATAGCCCCATCTGACAGGGTTCTGTGCGGATGATGTGTCCGGCACAGGCCCGTCCGCAGACGCAAAGCGAGCTGGCAGGTGTCAAGGGCTTGGGGGGAGAGGGGCCCGGGCGGTGACAGCTAAGGGGCGCAGGGCTTCTCCTCTGGGTGACGAAAATGTCCTAAAACTGCGGTGGTGGATGCACAAGTCGGAATACGTAACACCCACTTAACCGTGCATTTTAAAAGCCTAAGTTTTGTGCTGTGTGAATTCAGTCTGAATTCCAACGCTGATATCCAGGACCCCAAACTTCTCCTTGACCTTGGATCTCCCTCCCTCCCACCGCTTCGCCCAGCGTTCTCTGTAGTGACCCGGCAAGGAGAATCAGCGTGCCCACAAGGGAGAGGGGCAGCGTCGCGCACACGCCTTCCCACCACGCAGCATGCCCAGCTCTGGGGCCCTCCGCGAAGCGTGAGACCTTCTCCCACAGGAGCAGGCAGGTTGGGACAGGAGCGGGTGTTAGGAGCAGGGTTTCGCTCCTGGAGAGAGGCTTTGCTGCGTGAAAGGAAGGGAGGAGAGGGCCCCAGAGAAGTCTGTGAGGGGACATCAGATGGGGCTGTGGCCAGAGATGACACAATCTTTGTGAGGTGAGTCTATGGAGCCATCAGCAGACCTTGCATCCGAGTCTGTCCCATGGCGCTGCTCCCTGCTGCTCACCGGCCGGGTCTGTGACACTGTCCTCTGCCCAAGAGTCCCCCTCAGCAAGAGACTAAGTGAACAGTGTAGGAAGAGCCCCTGGGGTGCGAACTCAGCACAAGTCAGATAAATGCGCATGTAACCACACAGGGTGGGCCGATCGGTATCCGTTTACCCTCAAACGGATTCCTAATATGATTTATAAAACAATCTGTACCAACAAGATACTAACTTCTCAGTATTTCCTGCAGAGAAAGCTACCAACAGACATGAACCGGGTAGATGCTAATTCACCCGTCAGGAGCCCCTGTGCCAGTAGCTGGAAACTGTGGTTTTACTGCCGTGGGAAGCAGCTTTTCTCTAACGCCGCTCCACAGGGACCACCGGGTGGTACTGCCCGTCGCACGGCCCCGCTGACAGTGGGCACCTCTCCCTGGGGCCCTCGGCACCTCCTCCGGGCTCTGCGGCGAGCCTGGAACCCGACACAGAGCTTCTGAATCTAGGGGCCTTCAAGACCTCAGGGACCAAGGGCAGCTCATGCTATTAGGTCTGCCTTCTTGACTCTCAGGGAAACTGCTCCCAAAGGACCCCACCTGGTCTCAGACTCGAGGTGACACAGATCGATCAGAGAATTGTAGAGCTGCAGGGAACTCAAGATTAGTTACGTGGTGAAATCCAGAACCCACATCTCTGGCCGTGAGTCTTCTCTTCAGAAGAACACGGTATCTGAACCGGGAGGAACTTATGAATCTTCTAGTTACCATCTGTCCATCCGTACAAACTGCCCAACGGGGTATTTTCCATTCGCGCACCGTGACATCATTTGTGTCTGAGCGATGTTTATTCTCCAGTTAAGACATGAAAAACGTGGGGTGCCTGCGTGGCTCCGTCAGTTGCGTGTCTGACTCCTGGTTTCGGTTCAGGTCAGGGTCTCAGGGTCGTGATCAGAGTCCCACGTCGGGGTCCGTGCTCGGTGGGGAGTCCGCTGGAGATTCTCTTCCTCTGCCCCTCCCCCCGCTTGTGCACAGCCCCCTCTCTCGCTTGCGCTCTCTCTCTCTCAAATAAATCTTAAAATAAAGTAAGACACGAGCAATGTGGGACGCCTGGCTGGCTGAGTCAGTGGAGCAGCAACTCTTGATCTTGGGGTTGTGAGTTCAAGTCCCATGTTGGGTGTAAGGATCACTTTAAATAAATAAATAAACAAACTTAAAAAAAGAAAACATGAAAAACACCAAGCCTATACCCAGGAAATAAAAGCCTGAGGCCACACGGTCTGTGGGGCCACACAACCAGACATGAGGGGAAGTGCAGGGCGACAGGGAGTACTCACAGGGTCGGTGAGCATGGTTCTCAGGTGGGACGACAGGGCCAGCACCGCTAGGCAGTTAAACAGGACTCCGTTGACCACAGAGTACCAGAAGTCTTTGGAAGGCAGCAGCATGACGAATGTCACCACAAAGTCCGCGTAGACGACCAGGAGCCACGTCATGACGGCACAGATCATGCCGCAGCCGTCGCGGATGAACCAGACCCTGTCTGCCACGTCGGCCTCCGAGGACGAGGAGGACGAGGAGTCGTAACTGTCATTTTCGGTCAGGAGAGGGTGATGCTCGACATCCCGGAGCCGGTGTCCTGATGACGGCATGATTTCCCTGCGCACCCTAGAGGGGGACAGAGAGCCGGTGAGGATCGGGGGACACATGCACGCTTGCTCATGTGCCCCCTGAAACCTGATGGGTTCCCTTCTCTGGGCTGTCTCACGGGGACCGTCTAAATACACGTGACAAAAAAGACGACAACTGAACAAGATCTGAACCTTAAAATCTTCCACCTTCATGACTAGCTGACAGCCTGTGACACTATCGGCCCCACTGTGTGGGTGATGCCGAGACGCGCGCACACTGTCCCCTGCAGCCAGCCATGGGGGAGCCACGACGACAGGAGGACAGGCCAGATGCAGACTCCCGGCCCAAGGGGAGACAGAGTGAGTGGCACCGCGGCCACCCTCCTCGCCACCGAGCCCACACTGGCCCATGGGTGCGGAGACCCGGCCCCCGAGCCACCTTCTGCGGGCAGCTCCGAGCTCCTGCCCGCCCTCCCCCGCCGGGCCCAGGCCGCAGCTGACGGTGCACTCGCCCTCAGCTCTGCACCTTCTGGAAGTCCTTCCTTTCTGCTTTCGTCTCTTACAAGCTTTCTTCACTTGCTAATCCATTCCTTCAACTCTCCTTCCGGCACCGTTCCCGTTTCCTGCAGTGCCGGAACCAAGCACACAGCGGGGGTGCAGGAGCTCCCGAGCCTTTCCCGGACTGGCTGACAGCTGCCTTCATGCACGTCCTTCTGTCACCAGCGTGTGACCGAGCAGCAGCAGGACGCTCGTGGCAAACATCAGGGGTCCGTTCACCGGGCCTGGAGGCGCTCGCACTAGGGAGAGAAGCACCGGCGGCCGGAGTACTTCCTCGGCCAGAGCCCGACGTGGAGCAGGAGCTGGAGCGGGCAGCGGATGCCCTCGGGCCGCTACACACCCTCTGCGCACCATCCTTCCGGCCTGGGCCCGGCCTCCTTTCCTCCTGCAACCATGGCACTGCCGTGACAGGCACTGTAGTGACAAGGACCGTGGGAAGCTGTGGGAGGTCATGCGGCACGACCTTGGCGGAGCTCCCTCTTGCTGTGCAAACACTCACTTGAAGCGGTTTCCCACTGTCAGTAAATTAACCCTGCTCCTGGGTCTGACGAAAACAGCTTTCAGGTTTTTCATAGGAGAAACCGAAGAAACTAAAGACACAGCGATCGCGCACGGGTCACGGCCGGCCGACCTCGTGGCTGGCACCTGCTGAGCCTGCTGCCGTCCCAGCCCATCCACCACCTCCCTGGCACACACCGGGACCCTCCGTGCCCCCCGGGGCCGACCTTCCTCCCGCCCAAGCAAGCCACCCCAAAGGGCTCTCCTTCCTCTCAAGAGCACGCTCTGAGGGGGGTTCTGCACTGCAGACGGAATGACCTGAAGAGGACAGCCGACCCTGGCTCTGCCCACACCCTCCCAATCAGGGGCTGAGACGGGGGCGGGAGCTGCCCCCTTCCCTGGGACTCCTAGGCCCCGCATGTCAGTGCTGCCTGCAGTGCACAGAGCCCTCGTGTGTCCCCCTCCCAACGGACTCACACGGAGGCTCTGGTCTTCTCTCCCCGTGCTCCCTTCCACGTGCGCACGCGGTGCGGCCCCCAGTAAGTGCCTGTTTGTTGTAAGGCAGAAGCACCAGCAAGAACCCGGTCCCCTGCTCAGATTCCAGGAGTCTCCCAGTGACTTCCGTAAGAGGGTCCGAGTGAGTCCTAACTACACACCACCAAGCACTGAAGCAGAGAAACTCCTCCAACCAGAAATCATTTTGCTTTACGGCTCCTCCTCCAGCGGGACAGCGCCTGTGACAAGTGGGCGCCCACCTGCTGCGCAGTAAGATGGGAAGCGACAGGCTCGCTTCCTGTCCCGGCGTGTCTGTACAGTCTGAGTTCCATCCAGAAAGCCCGAGCCCGCAAGTCCTCTGGTGGCACGCACAGTGGAGGCGGAACCTTCCCGGTGGAGATGCTGGTGAGAAGCCCCCCCCAACCCCCACCTCCCGAGAGCAGGGTACAGCTCTGTCGTGGCATGTCCCTGCCCGGCTGCAGATGGCAGGTCTGTTCCTACAGGAAGAGAAGCCGCAAACATGCCAGCACCGGGCGTGGTGGGAGCTTCCCAGACACGTGCTTCCCAGCACACATTAAGTCTGCGTGCAGATGTTACAAACCGCAGCTGTACAGCCCACCAGAAGGCAACGGGAAAATCCCGACACCTGAAAGCAGTCAATGAACACAGCGGGGTACGGCGCATAGAGTCCGTTCTCCATAGCCCACGGCATGGGCATTCTGCTGCGTCACCGCGCTTCTCCTTCGTGGATGCCGGAGGAAGGGCAGGGAGGAAAGGAGGCAGCAGCCCCTTCACACGGAACCATCTGTGTCTTCTGGAAACAGGATAGCAGCGGCTCGGCCGTGCGTGATGTGACACTAAGTGAGCCCATCGTTGGGGTCGGGGCGCATCTCCTTCCACACTCAGGGCCACACTGCCCTCGATCTCCTGAAGACCATTTCTGAGAGACACCAGAAAGCACCATGGGCCATCAGAGGGCACGTCAGCATTTTTTGACTTTAGTGGCCGATTTAACAGGATTCTGTCCACACTCCCAAACCTAAGCTTAGTTGATGCTCATGTCAGAGAAAGCCCCGTTTCCCAGAACACGGCAAGCACCACTGTCTCATGAGAGACAGAGCCAGAAAGAGGGGAAAAGGAATTCCGAAGAGGTAAAACGTAGAGAGAAACCTTAAAAATTAAAACACTGTATCTGTGAAACAAAAAGATTGCCACAGCTTGACGGGACGACCACGCAAGCAACATGTTCCACTAATGTCACTCGGCACATGCCTCGCCCTGTAACACCTGCTGGTAACTTACACAGTCACTTCCCGGAATCCCCCCGCGCAGTGGCGAGCAGACCATAGCCGGCGGCCGGCGGGTAGACAGACTGGCCTTCTGTACCGCCCGTGCTGCCTTCCCAATGAAGGCAGTCGGGTGTCTGTGGCGGAAAGGACACCGGGACGAGACAACCGCACAGTCACTCGCTTACCTCACAGATGATCTCGAAACATTACTTGAACATCTTGCGCCTTTTCTTCAGGATCTTAAGGTGCATAGTGTCGCATGTGACAGGACCTGGAAGACAACAAACTCTCATTAAAAAAGTGACTGATTCAATGACCAAAGCATGTGACGCTTCGTAGGACAGGATTAATTTGGAGAGCTGCAGAACCAGTATAACATTTTACACGTAAAGTAACCACGAAATCATTACTCCTCTGTGTTTTCATTACTAGTAAACTACGAAATGATGGGACAGTCCTGAAAACAAAGTCATGTACTTTACATCTGCCCGTTTCCCCCTCCTGCTACCTGAGCCCCAGCATCAAATACAAGTCTAGAAGCCAAAATCTCCTGAGAAAGATCCCCAGGGATCCTCCAAACCAAACCAGATCAGTCTGTATTTTAAAAGTCAACAAGTGTTTCAGCAGCCACAGCAAAAGACTTCCAGAGAAAATGGGAGAGAGTGAGACCAAGAGGTGAGACCCACTGCAGGAGGGAGCGAGGCACAGGAAGGCAGGTGAGGCACCGAACATGTCCATCTACTGAAGGAAGAAAGTCCCAGCTGGCATCTCCCTCCTGGCTCCCGGATCACTGGCAGGCTGGTGACCTGATGTGGCATCTCCAGAAGCACGTCTATGGCCTGAGAGGAAAGGCCTAAAGATACCAAGATGGGGGTGGGGGGAGCCCCCAACCAAACTAGTCTTTATTTCCAGCACAAACCTTTTCATGAGTTTTTTTAAGCTGTCCATTTATTTCCAGTCTTAATGTCATATAACTGACGAGCGTCCCTGTGTGTGTTCTAGGTAGACAGCAGAATGCTTCGACTGACCTACAGGTCAGAGGTTTTGAAGAGAGCCGAATTAGGTCTCATGAGAGACAGAGCCCAGAAAGAGGGGAAAAGGAATTCCGAAGAGGTAAAATGTAGAGAGAAACCTTAAAAATTAAAACACTGTATCTGTGAAACAAAAAGGAACATTCTGACTTCCTAGTTACTGAAAAATAAAAATGAGAGAATTAAATTTAAAAACAAAGAAACAAACAAAAAACAGGACTGGATGAGAGAGGAGGAACTCTCCCAAAAGGAGAATTAAGTGATGAAGACAGAGACCTCAGGCGACAGAATAAAATCCAACTAGCTGGCCTGGCGCCCCAGCAGCAGGAGGCCTTCCTGCTGCGGTCTCGCTTCCCGCCTGGCTGCCTGCTCCGTGCTCACACCGTTTCCTTCCAAGAGATGATTTTTCTACTTAAGCCAATGCTCCATCGGGGTCTATCTTTTGAAACCAAGACCCCTAAGACATCTGGGACTTTCTTCCTTCAGCTTTCTTCCTAGCTGGCCTGGAAGAGGGGGTAGGAAGAGGGGCCGGGCGGTCAGCAGGTGGCAGGGAACCCCCTAGTCTCGGCCACTAGCCAGACTCCCCAGGGCAGAGTGGAGGCCGCTCTCTGTCTGCCCTTCTGCCCGGCCGCCACTGCAGGGCTCCTCAGGAGCCGTTTCTCCCCCAGTGCTTACCAACAGCCCCCTGCCCGCCTGCCCGCCCTTCCACCGCCACCCACCGCCCAGCGTTCCCAAGCGCCTGCCAGCTCGGACCCCTTCCAGCTCGGAGCCCCTTCTGGATGTCTGAGGAACACATGTGGCCGTGACCCCACGCTGCTGACACTAATGCAGGCAACTTTTCAAATACGGTATTTACACAGAGTAACTACGTTCACGGGCTATGTATGCAACAGCCAACAACTTTAAATACCTAATGGTATTCTGAACTGTTTGCAAATAAGCTTATGCCGACAATGTTTTAAAATAAAACTGGCTGTGCAAGACACAAGACTACTCATCCTGGACATCAGGTTTCCAGAAGAATCTCTACAATGAGACCAAATCCTCAATTACTTTTATGCATTTTAAAAAGTAACCAACACAGCAACCCCTTCGAAAAGCGGCCTGGCACCTTCTCCAAGTTCAACACCCACCCTGCGCATCAACAACTCCACTTGGAGGTACTTACCCAGGAAAAGTGAATGTGAACACAAAACGCGCACACAACTGCCCACAGCTTTATCCGTAATACTCCCCAGACCACAGACAACCCAAACATCCACCACCAAGAGAGGCACCGAGAAACTATGGCGTAGTCAGGCCAGGGCACACTGCTCAGTGGCACAGAGGAAGGAAATTAATGAGATCTGCGACCACACGGATGAATTTCAAAGATGTCACGTCACCCGCACGGCACCTGAAACCAGGCAGCAGTCATTTATTCTGAAGGAAATCAGAACAGGGGTTTGAACACGGGGGGTTGACTGAGAAGAGCCCAGGGTAACTTTCTGGGGTGATGGAAATGCCCTATATCCTGACCTCAGTGGTGCCACCGGCATGTGTGTCTCTCAAAACAAAAGTCAATGAGCTATTAAAAACAAAACAAAACAAAACCAGCAGTACACTTACAAGTGTACATTTCACTGTATGATTAAAAAAAAAATGCACAGGAGAAAAATCGGCAGCGCAGGTACGGGAGCTGGGTGGGAAAGGTGAAGCGGAGGCCAACCTCCAGCCAGAAGCTTCCTCCAGAAACTGCACGCAGGGCCCGGGAGGTCTCTGACCGACTCTGTCTGAATCCTCAGACGAGGCTCTCAGCCTCTTTCCTCACCTTTTCCTTGGCCGTGAACAGATAACGTATTCTCAAATACACACTGAAAACCAACGAGAAGACGTCAGTATTCTTTGGTGGCCAGTAACTACAAAGAAAATCAAGATGGGCGCCTGGCTGGCTCAGTCGGTAGAGCGTGCAACTCGTGGTCTCAGAGATGTGAGTTCAAGCCCCAGGCTAGGTGTAGAGAGGACTTAAAAATAAAACCTTATAAATAAATAAAATCTTTAAAAAAAAATAAAACCTTAAAAAAAAAAGAATCAAGATACTTTCACTATTGCAATAAAAAGAATGTCTACCCTAGAGTCCGATATTCATGTTTATGTTAAGGTGCTGTTTAAACTCATTACAGCTTTACTATCCATACACCCACTGATGACCTATAAAAAGCAGGAATTAGCAGCTCTGCTTCAGGCACAGCAGCAGCACATGAGGCCAACGCGAGCCATGAGAGAGCTGCTTAATTCAGACGTGGAGAGGGGGAGCGCCAAGCACGGTGTTCTCTGTCCCCAGGCCCCAGGATGTGCAGCCCCCGATGGGAGCTGTAGCCCACAGGAGCTCACAGACCAGCAGAGGTGGGAATCAGGCCGGTAAACAATGTGCTAAGTGTTATCCCCAAATCAGGAGCAAAGTGTGATGAGGGAGAGAGATGACAGCAGCTAATTCTATCCGGAGGAGCCAGAGAAGGTGTGAAAGAAGCCACCAGCATGGTGGGCCCTGACAACAGAGGTACAGACAGGAGGTGAGAACAGTGCGAGGGCCCAGGTGGGAGCAGGAACACAGCGAGCCAGAGGGCTGCAGGCTCAAGGTGAAGGAGGTAGGGAAGGACAGAGGGGAAGGGCAGACTGGGGCTGCTCACAGAGTACTCAGAATGCCCCGCTGAGCAGTCTGAAGTCTGGACTTGTTCTAGTACGGGAGGCACCAGATCTTTGGCAAATGCACAGGTGTTTTAAAAAATAATTGGTGACACCAAGGACGGAAGGAGGAAGCTGGCCAACCAGGAGGCTGGCACCACCTAGAACAGAGAAAGCACCCGTGGGGGGCCAAGAGGGGAGCAGGGCCTGCAGGGGACTGAGAGCTGTTACGGGAAGCAAAAGCCCAGTGGGCACCAACGGCGAGGTGTGGCTGGGGCGCAGCACAGGGAAGTGAAAGGGCTTCGGAGGTGTTTCTGCCCCGCCTGTGTCTCATGGAACACTGGAGCCGCAGATCAGGAAGAGCCCCACCGAGACTGGGGCTCACAGAATTTAAGGAGCTTAAGGGCTTCGGAGGCGTTTCTGCCCCGCCTGTGTCTCCTGGAACACTGGAGCCGCAGATCAGGAAGAGCCCCACCGAGACTGGGGCTCACAGAATTTAAGGAGCTTCTGGAAAACTAGAAGATTATCACCTGCCCTCCTGCTACTCCATCCTAGAGAGACCAAGTGGGAACGGATGCGACCACCCAAGGGGCCCCAGCAGTGTGAGGCTGGAGCTCTGACAAGGGTCCAATGAGGCAGCAAGGGAGTCGGGGGGCCTAAGAGCACAAAGGCCGGAGCAGTCCGTGCCCTCAAAGCAGGCGCTGGGAGAGGCTCAGCAGGGACCTCTCCCCACCAGGTCATCATGTGCCATGAGCTCGGGAGACTGGGTGGTGAGGAAATTAAAGAAACACCTTTTTAAAGATGCAGTTAAGTCCCGGACATATACAGCTAGGAGGGAAAGTCGAGGGAATCCTTCTTGAGCTTTCGCTCCTGTGTATTATCTTATGTCCCGCTAGGACCGTGATCGTGACTCTGGAATAATACAGGGGCTGTGTCTTCATACCTGCCCCAAACAGTTGAAAATCCACTTACAACTTCTGACTCCCCCAAATTTAACTCGTAATAGCCTACTGTTGACCTGAAGTCTTACAGTAACAAACACCACAATTTTTGTATGTATTCTTTTTTTTTTTAAATTTATTTATTTATTTGACAGATCACAAGTAGGCACAGAGGCAGGCAAGGGGGGTGGGGAAGCAGGCTCCCTGCTGAGCAGAGAGCCCGATGCGGGGCTTGATCCCAGGACCCGGAGATCATGACCTGAGCTGAAGGCAGAAGCTCGACCCACTGAGCCCCCCAGGCGCCCCAATTTTTGTATGTATTCTTATGACAAAGTAAGCAAGAGACACCAAAGTGTTAAGAAAACCTACGGGGCTCCTGAGTGGCTCAGCTGGTTACATGTCTGCTCTCAGCTCAGGTCATGATCGCTGGGTCCTGGGATCGAACCCCGCACTGGGCTCCCTGCTCAAAGGGAAGCCTGCTTCTCTCTCTCCCCTTGCCGTTCCCTCTGCTTGTTCCCTCTCTCTCTGTCAAATAAATAAATAAAATCTTAAAAACAGACAAAAAAAGAAAATCCTAAGAGAAAATACATTTACAGTACTATATTGTATTTATCGAAAAAAAAAAAATTCACATG